AGGGATGTATCGTGTATGGGATTCAGATAATGCATTTGTTGTTGGATTAGGCTATCAAACTCCTCATTTTCCTGATGCCAACATCACTTACACTTCTGAAACCCCGAATTATACTGCGCCAACCATAGTTTACACAACCTCGAGGATTATGGACAATTACAGCTCGGGACTGTATTGGGAATTCCCTCTAAACTCTGGTTTCTTGTATCTTTTCAGGCTCCATTTTTGTGAGATTCAGCCGGAAGTTAAAGAAATAAACGATAGAAGTTTCTCCATTTCTATCGGAAACCAAACAGCCCAGCGAGAGGCTGATGTAATACAATGGAGTGAAGGCTGGAGAATCCCTGTGTACAAAGACTATGTGGTTAGAAACCTAGATGGTGCGCAAAACCTGACGCTTAATTTGAGTCCTAACCCAGATTCTGCATATCAAAATGCTATCTTAAATGGATTAGAAATTTTCAAGTTGAACGACTCCAATGGAAACCTCTCCGTGCCGAATCCTGAAGTTTTCTTTCCGAATAATTCACCACCAAACAACAATAAGAAAAAGAAATCATCACACATCATTGCTGTTATCACTGCAGTGGCTGTTATTAGCGGAATTGCTCTGTTTTCAATTCTCTGTTTCTTGATTTTCCGGCGGTGGAGAAGGGGAAAAGATCTTCATACAAGCGTTACAAAGTCATCATGGATCCCTTTGTCAATTACATCGGACTCAACCCAAAGGACAGGCGGCTCACGCTCATCATCACTACCATCCGATCTGTGCCGACACTTTTTACTAGAAGAGATAAAAACTGCAACAGGCAATTTTGATGAAAAATTTGTGATTGGTTATGGAGGTTTTGGTAATGTGTACAAAGGGTACATAGACAACGGTGCAACCATAGTTGCAGTCAAGAGGTTGAATCCTTCATCAAAGCAAGGAGTCCGCGAGTTCGAAACAGAGATTCACATGCTGTCAAAGCTAAGGCATGTGCATCTGGTGTCCTTAATTGGTTATTGTGATGATAAGAATGAGATGATCTTGGTTTATGATTACATGGCTAATGGAACTCTTCGTGATCACTTGTACAAAACTGATAATGCTCCACTTCCATGGAAGAAACGCCTCGAGATTTGCATTGGCGCAGCAAAAGGATTGCATTATCTCCATACAGGTATACGGTTAATCTCACTCTGATATCACGTTGAAGTGTGTATAGAATAAATTTTTAGTAATTTACTGATAGAAAAAGATAAAGATTAATTATTTAAACATAATAATTGTTAACTATAGTAGATATGATGGTTAAATTTAATTTCCCAGGTAAAAAGGATATCATCATTCATCGAGATGTGAAGTCAACCAACATTTTATTGGATGATAAATGGGTTGCTAAGGTTTCAGATTTTGGGTTATCCAAAATCGGTCCACTTAGTGGATCAGGAAAAACTCATGTTAGCACTGTTGTGAAAGGAAGCTTTGGATATCTAGATCCTGAATACTATAAGCGACAACAGTTGACAGAAAAATCTGATGTGTATTCTTTTGGGGTAGTGCTATTCGAAGTGTTGTGTGCTAGACCAGCATTAATTCCTAACATGCCGAAAGGGCAAGTGAATTTGGCTGATTGGGCTTGTAGGAGCTGTAAAAAAGGAAATCTTCAACAAATAATTGATCCAAATTTGGAAGGACAAATCGCGCCAGAGTGCTTAAACAAGTTTGCAGAAGCAGCATACAATTGCTTGAAGGATCAAGGAGTCCAAAGGCCATCAATGAATGACGTTGTTTGGAATTTGGAATTTATATTAAAGCTTCAAGAAGCAGCTGATAATAGAGGTCACAAAATGGAATTGAACAGTTATCCGACTAGCCCGTCTTTCCCATTGATTATGAATGATCATACCAATATATCTACAGATGAAGGATTCGAGGAATTTTCAGGTTCAAATGAAGTTGGAGAAAAATACACAAGCAGTGCTTCATCCATGACCACAACTAGTGATGACAAATTGAAGAGTGAAACCATTTTCTCTGAGATTTTGAATCCATCGGGACGATGAGATTGTTACAACTAGTATGATAAATATTACATATTAGTTCTTCTCTGTTTCCTTTTTCGTCTGTTGAATTTATGTCCTTATTATATGTGGATGATGAACTGAAGCCATTATTCAGAAGTATATAAGCTATAAAATACTTTCATTATATTTTGTTGAGTGAACTTTGCTTCCTCTTTTTGTTTGTTTTGAATCTTTTGCTTTTTTATTTCCCATTTGATATCTCGTATCTATACTAAAACTCATTAGGAAGAAAACGAAGATCTCTTCATACTAAAAGCATAAACCTGAGATCTCTAATTATTTGTTTACTTACCTGAAATACACGACTCTCATTTGATGTGTCATCGTCACTCATATGCAATAATATTCAAATGGAGGGATCCACAACATTTTCGAAGAACTATTAAACGGGAAAAAGTTGATCTCGTAAGAGAAAATACCTCTTATATCATTAGTTAATAAACATGCAAAAGTATATACATTTTTTTTTCCTTTTCCTTTTACTTTTTCTTTTTTTATTGTTGAAAAGTCAGTTCAAAATTTAACAAAAAATCATCCAAAAAGTCGAAAGAAAATAATTGAATAACTTTCCAATCACGTAAGTCTTTAGTCTATATGGCCAAGAGGAATTATTGAGCGGAACATAACAAAGACTTGCGTTTAAGAAAAGTCTTTTGGTATGGCCTACAAGAAAAGATAGACACCCCAATTAACAATTTTTTATATTTTTATTATTTATTTCTATTGTTTTTTATCTTTTTCCTTTTTGTATCCTCCTGGTTACATATATGGTTCCCATTTCTAGTGCAATATTTGCACATTTAATTTCTCAGTCATTGTTTGACTAGGTTAACTCTTGAAGTACTTAATTGATTTTTGAGTGGTAGTTGAAAAATAATATCACTTAAACAGTCTACAATAATTAACACAACCTCCATATGAGCAATTATGAACTTGTCACCGCAATTCCACAAATGTCTCGACTGATATGTTTTTGTTTGAATTTACTTCCTCCATCCGAAACTGTTTGTCATATTGCGCTTATCAAAAGTCAATTTAATTAATTTTTAAAGATTAATTAGATCACATTAATTCGATATTTTAAACAAAAAAATTAGATATTTTAAAACTAAATGAAAAGTACTATAAATTACAATTTTTTGCATATTAATATGATGAAAAAATATATCTTAAAATGTTAGTCAAAATTTTTATAATTTGACTCTAAAAATAGGAACCATGACAAACAATTCCAGACGAAGGGAATATATATATATATATATATATATATATATATATATATATCGATATGTTGTAGCGAATAATATTCAGAAGTATAAAATACTTTCACCATTTTTTTCTTGGATAGATTAGTGAAATTCCATTGATATGGCCCTACGAAGAAGATTTTTAAGCTGAAGAAAACAAATTAATCACATCAAGAAAAAGATCTTTCATATTTCACTTGTCCTCAACAAAGCTAAAACACAAAGACTCGGACTAGTTGTCTTGATAATAATAATTTTTTTAAAAAGTTAGGATTCTTTTAATGTGTTATCATCACATACAAAATAATATAAATATGATCGAGAAAAGACATAAAATTATCATTAAAGTTATTTTAAATTTTTAAAGAGATATCTTAATTTTGCTTGTGTCTTATTACCCTATTAAACAACTTAAAAATAGAATGTATATCCCATTATTCACTCAATACCACTTGTACAAAAATATTTATATGTTACGCACTAATAATTACTTGCCACGTGTTAAAAATAATTTTAAATTATTTTTATCTAATTTCTCTGTATTTCTTTTTTTTTATTTTTTCCTTTTTTCTCTTTCTTTTTCACCTCAACTATGTGCTTTATTTTTTCTCTTTCTTCTTCACCTCAAGTTCTTTCCCAATCTCTTTTTGCTGCGAGAATCTTCAAATTTACTGTGCTGAGCCGCTCAGCCGCTGTGCAGATTTCGCGACAGCACTATTAATTTTTAATCAAATTACTATTAATTTATTTATTTATGAAAATAAATATTATTAAATAATTAAAATTTAAATATTCAAATATTACTAAATCAAAATCTGATATTTAAATCACCATCTTCTTTAATTGAATTTTTCATAGTTTAACTATTCCCAGATTTCAATCTTGATTTGTAAGAGAAAAAAATCACTAAACTAATTTGTTTTTTTTTTAAAAAAAGAAACTCAATATCATTAGTTTTAAAAAAAAACGCCAGAAAGGAAAAAGAAATGAATGCTCAAGAAATATGGGTAAGATGATGATGGTAGGAAAGATGAGAAAACAAATTTGAAAAATTAAAAACTATTTTTAATAAAGTTAAAAAATAATAGTTAATACATGAGTTTTTATATTTTTTCGCAATAAGACATATTAGAGGTGCCAAATGACAATTTTACATTGGTATGAAGCTGTATCAGCCGTGCTTCACGTGTCCATATGCTGTGAATTTTTTAACTTGATCAGTTTTAATTCATTTATAATACAAGTTTAATACATATTACAAAGAATAATTTATTATAAACATATAATACAAGTTTTAATGATAAATGATACATTTTTCACACATTTTAATACATTTATAATAATATGTGTCAATTTTTACCAAACAAACATAATCTATTTTAAAAAAAAGTAATTATAATTCATATAATATTGCATACATAATTCACTTTTAATTCATATTACAGATTTTACATAATATTGCTATAAATAGTAATAAATAAAAAAATATCGCTAAAATCAGTAATTATTTTTTAAAATGTACAAATTTATGTAATTTTTCCTTTATTTATTTATTTAAAGAGCAAACCGTACAATGTATTTTGGGCCGTCTTTTGATACTCAAGTTCATGGGCTACATCCAAAATTAGCCCAAGAAAATAAATAACGTCTCAGCCCAATAAATTCGATCCCACAGTGCAGTCAATATTTCCTTTTAGTTCCATCAAAGAAAACTAGACACTGAAGAGAGTTCAAAAATCTTTTAGAAGAGAAAAAGATGAGCGGCGTAAGGAAAGGGCCGCCGAAGCATCAGAACAAAGTCGCCTGGAAACCTAACGCCGGTATCAAAATCAATGAAACGGTACGTCTACTTTCATTCTCCGGCGACCAACCGCTATTTTTGTGGTCTGAACGAATTGATTGTTGGTGTTGCTTTTATTTGCAGGAAGTGGGTGGAAAATTTAGGCCTCTCTCAGAAATAACAGGAGTATGTCTTCGTTGTAGAGATCAAATTGATTGGAAGCGCAAGTATGGAAAATACAAAGCCATTACTGAACCTGCTAAGTGGTAAACTTCTACTTCTCTATTTTTGGTTGAATTGGTGGTTATCAACATTTTTATCAGTTTGTTTTAAGGATAATCTGTAGAAGATAAAAATGTTCGAGGTTAGCGAAACGCATATATAGCTGGTTAAAATTTCTACAGTACATAGTTATACTATCTTCATTGAAATTAGTGAACCACGGTACACTGACAAATGCTCCTGTTTTTTTTTCCCTCATAATTCTGATAGTCAGAAGTGTTCGAAAAGAAACGTGCGTCAAGCTTACCACAATCTCTGCAATGGTTAGTTTTGACTTCTTTTGCATATGATTTATTTTATTTTATATGTATTTGTTACAGTATAGTGAAATAATATGATATGAACTTAAATGGTGAAATGAGGATTCATATAGCCGCCCCCAACTTATTTTGGGATTGAGGCGAAGTTGTTTTTGTTACAACATGATGAAATCCCTCAATGCCTTGTTGAAATCTGTGTAGTTTTGGTTTAATGTTTTTGCATTTATTTGTAAAATCACAGGCTGTGCAAAGGAGCATAAAGTATGTGCCAAGTGTTCATGTCGTGTTGGTCAAGTGGTTGGAAGGTTTAAAGATTCTTCCTTTTCCCCCTTCCCTTCTCGATTTATTAAATCTCTATTTTTGCTAAAAATTAAATGATGAAAATTGTTTGTGGAAGACATCTCATGTGCTTTATTTTATGTTTTCTCATAGAGATGTTTCAGAAGTAGAGGCTGAGAAAAAAGCTCTTGAGGAGGTTTGTTCTCATAGTCTTATTGTTAGCTTTTCTGTCATCTATATGATCAGCGGGTCATTTGTCAACCTATGAATCTAATGTGCTATTGTTGGTTACAGGCTATCAAGAATGCTCGAGAACGGGATAGGCGGTCACTTCTACGAGCTGTAAGAGAATTTTCTGCTGAATTAACTTTATGATAAATGTTGTATGGGAAGCCTGTCTTGTCCTTGTTCCCAGCTAGCCCCCAACCCCAATCTCAACCCGCAATGGCAATTACTATTCAATAAGAAAATATTTATGATTAGATAGAAAAACCAAAATTCATGCTCTGTGTGTTAGACAAACAATTATCAGTTGTTCTAGTTACTACACTAGCTCAGTTGTCTGTTTTTCTTTTTTCTTAATAACAATGGTGCTTGAGCAACTTGTGTGCACATGGGCTATCATTAGTTTGGTACATTCTACATATGTTTAGTTCAACACCACAAGATCCTCCTTTCTTATACTCCGTACCAAGTCAAAACCAGTTAAACAAACTGAAAGGAGAAGGTGAAATACAACTTTAACATGTAATCCTCACAAATGCCCTTCTCTCAAATATTTTATGTCAGATGAAAGACAACTTTAACATGTTAATTGTGCGTAACCTTGTTCTTGCAAATACAAATGATGTAGGTGACAGTTAATGGTCATTTTCATTCTTATCTCTTTTGGATCTACCCGATTCTCTTCTATTTGTTTCTCCTGGAGTGGATTGAAAATAGTTGGAGGAGTGTTAGTGCATTTATAGTCTGTACGCATAAGCATATTTTTGTTCTCTGGATGTTAGATTGCCTGCTTATGTGTATATATGGAGTAGTAGTTATGCTTGAAATTGGTTTTTAAAGCTGAACACAATGTTTTCTGATTAAGTAAGATGTTCTCTTAGCATCAAGAAGATGCAAAAAGTAAAAATGATGGGATGTTAGCTCCTAATACACAGCATTTTTATACTACACACTGGAATCTAACTGAAAAATGAAAAATGGTAGTTTAGCCAGGCACAGTTAGCCAATGAAGTCTAGAAAGAGAATAACATAATTTCAATAGAGATTACTCCAACTAAAAAGTATCAGCAGACATCTAGCTTTCAAGGGTATATAGGAGCTGAAATACCATCAAAACATCTGAAGTTCCTGTAAAAATACACCAGAATATGCTAGCTGGGAGAATTGTCCTGATGCTCTTGATGGCCCTTTTGACTGTCCAAAAGCGCTAATATTCAACTGCTTCCTTGATACTCTGAGGTAGTATCCAACTGATCCCAATAATTGAAGAGAACATGCGGCAGACACCAGTAGTCACTGTGCAGAATGTTTTCCTGCTGGCTACTTTTAATTGCATAATACCCATTAAAGAGTACGTCTGCATGAGCCATGAAATGGATTTTGAGAAGTGAATTCTATATGTAACGATTGGTTGGTTCGATGAATGGTAGAGGGACAGTTGATTTACTTTTCACGTACTCATGTTTATTTACTATCTAATTGTACCATTTGATAGTATAAGCCCACATGACATCCTCCTCTTTTTTTTCTTTTTTCTTTTTAAAGTTCTCATCTTCTTTATGTATTACCAAGGTTGTAAATACTCATTCATTTCCCCTTTACCATTTGTGATTTCTACTGTGCTATAAAAGTATCTTGCTTTGCTGGAGTTCCATCACATTGGCGTCTGTTGCCTTACTATGTTGCTTTCAGGATGTTTCTGAGATTCTTAGCGTGCATCTTATGTCTATGCAACAGATGAACAAAGGGAAGTCACAGAGTTCAGAGAAAAACCTAAGTCAAGATGACATGAAAGTTGGTGAACTGAATACAGCATCATCACTTGAGGAATATGCTAAGGTAAACCGTGATGATGACGAAGATGGTGAACTGAATACAGCATCATCACTTGAGGAATATGCCAAGGTAAACCGCGATGATGACGAAGATGATGATGATGAAGAAGATGAAGGTCAAGTTATTTGAGATGCACAATTTGGAGAATAACCATATGGCCCTTTATAGATCTCCCTTCATGGTCCATAGTTTGATGCACACTAGCTCATTTGTATTGGCAGCTTTGGAGAAAAGTAATTTATTGGGCAAAATTGATACAGGCTGTTTGGTTTGCCTCCCCTTCTACAGTAAAGGACTAAGAGTGAGATCAACACACTATTCCATTCCTTTTCCATTTCATATTTTCCTAGCTAGTGAAGAGTTCTGAGAGTGTAATATAGAGTAAGATAGATTCTTAAGCCATTTTTTAATGTAATTCAGCTAAAAAGACAGCCTGCTAGTTGCTTCATAATGTGATGTAGGAGCATTGATGTTTTGTTGGTCAATTTACTCAAATAGTAACTGGTCTTTGGTTTTTTGGAACTTTATGGCCCATCAAATTATCTCAAGAATAAATTGGCTGGCTGGGCGTTTGCAACTCCAATATTTGTGCAATGCAGGCATACCTTTACATTGATTTGAATATTCTCTATTCAGTTTTCTGATGGTAATATAAACTAAGTGTGCACCTATGTTAAAAGCGATTGAAATATGCCCAAGAATCATGATGTCCAAAATGTTTTACCAGTGGTCTACTGGTAACAAGATCTGCAGACAATTAAGAGTGTTTAACTTGGGAAGTTTTCATGATCAGTTAATGAGACTGTTAGTTATCATTCTTTTGGCTCATGGAACTCCTTGTGTCCACTTAAACAAAACAGGTGATGCTCCTCTTTGATGGAATAAAATGTCATGGCAACTACAATCTATTTGCATTACTAACTAAAATATGTAAATTCCTAGTTGAAATTACATGGATTGACATGCAGACCTAGTACAATCGGGCAATTCTGGACACAGACAAAATATAAAAAGGAGGGATGTAAATTTTTGGAAAGAAATCAAATCAACGAATTTAGAGGCTTGAAAACCGAAGTTGATCAAGAATTTATCTATTCTTGTATGAATGAATATTACATTTTACATTTATTATCTAGCAAAAATTATTCAAGGGTCCTCCTTGTCATGACTCACTACAACCAATGAATGTGGCATTTATCTGGCAAAAATCATTTAAGAATATTGTAAGAAATCCCTAAGAAAAATTAATTGTATTTTGGCCAGGTACTTGGATTCCAAGTCAACTCATATAACAGTCATAGTGTCATTTGTATACAGACAGCTAATCAGCCGCGGTCTTGTTATCTCCAGCTCTCAAATACTGTATGTCAGTAGTATAAAAATCCTACCGCAAGAGTCGTCTGGCAGCTAGCTTTCATCAATCTATTCGTTTACTGCACACAAGCGCTCTGCCAACAAAAAAATCAAGTTTCAGGAAAAATTATTAAAGAAACTTTCATATCTTCATGTTAGGAAAATAGTGAAAGTAGTAGCGTATTCCATCTAAGTTACTTCCTTAACCTGAAAGCATGACACTTAACAACAGAGCTCTTTCTCTTTTTTAATTGGAAATCATATTGTCATAAACCGAGCATCAGTAGAAGTTACTTTTTTACTAGAATCAAGAACTAGACCAGTGGAGCTTATCTCCTTTACGAATATGCTGAAGTTATTTGTCACAAATTGAGTACCAAATGGATTTTATTGTTTGCTATGTCCGATTCAGGCAAAACAGCTTGCATCAAGCGAAGTCTAATAGGGCAGACATACACCTCTTTGTAACTAACCAGATTTATAAAAACAGAATCTGTAAGTAAACAGATTGGTCACTGCTTCTGATAAAACTCGCAACGAAATATTAAGAACAGGAAAGCCTCACTTTTATAGGTAAATGTAATCATTATGATAGCTAGCGACTTGAGACATAACAAGATCAATCACAAAATCAGAATACTGTGAATACAAAGGTCCCATATAAACTTGGATAAAGAATCACGTAAGAAGCCAAGATTACTGATTAAAATAAAGTGGAAGACCTACCAGTTTGATTCAATTGGACACATTAATAACAGCACCATGATAGGTTTCAAAGATGACACTTGGGACTTCCAAATATTATGACATGTTGCTCATGAAGTAGTTAAAAGTAAAAGAAAGAGAAGAAGAGGTTAAAGATCCTACTGAGATATTCATAGGCAAGTATCATGGAGGTTCCCCACGCTGACATGCTGACAAATCTTGGACCTAATCCCCTGTAAAATCCTGTCCAACCATCCTCAGCAATTAGCTGCTTAACTACTTGCCCTGCACTAGGTCTCTTATCGTGTCCCATCACCTGTAATGCATGAAAAAGAAGGTCCTTAAATAACAAGACTCGAAGCTGAGACTAATTACACGACATGTAAGACAACAAACTAGGCTAGAGTTTTAATAGGAATTGTTTGTCAACACTCACAGTTATGTATCTGACCACCAAAGGAAAACAGAATATCAAAGATTCTATACAGATAAAAAAGCAGCTACTAATGCACAATTATGCGCAACCAATCTGCACATAGAAAACAAAATGAACACCTAAACCATCTATGAAGGAGCAGCTACCAAAGTTCATAGTATAGTTGCAAGTAGTATGTTGCTCGGACTCTCTAAAACGCTGCCGCAGTCTTGCCGGACCATCCAAAAATCCACTACTTTAGGAGGACCCAACACGCACACAACGGCATTTTTGAAGAGTCCGAGCAGCACAAGCCTTCATAGAACACGAAAGAGGGGAATAGCCATCCAAGTAAACATACAAGGAAAAAAGAAAAGCATCCAAGACGGGCACATGAATAATCAAGCGTAAACAATACGAAAAATTTGTAAAATGCAGAACAAGCAGTAGCTATTTTGAAGAAAGATACAAGCAACAGAGTTCATAACAGAAACCAAAAGTAATACCTGCAACCTAGTTTTAATGGTGTCCAATGGAGTTGTTATGCAAGATGCAGTAGCACCGGCGATGATCCCACCAGCAGCTTGAACTGACACTATTTTCCCCTGGCTGGGAGCAGGCCCACCATGCTCAGTTCCATTATCCAAGAGCTTGCTGATAGACAACACAAGCAATGATAAAGTCACAAAAGGATTACCCGATAGAAATCTGTAGAACAACAATACTTGACAATGCAACCCAATTCAAGGGTATAACAAGAAAGTGAATGGGAAAAAAGGGACAAAGTCCACTCTTAAGAATTTTGAAAGATCAGAACTATCATCTAACCTCCATATGAAGCGCTGGCTCGAACCATAACTTGCCCACCATACAGCACTGGATGGGGAGTATGTTAGAACAGACAGACTGAATCCTCTATATAGTCCACGTATACCTTCTGACTTCAGAACTTTGCGAGCAACATCCAAGCCTCCATTGTAGCTTGCATGTCCTGAGTATCCTTGCACCATTAACCTTTGACTAACCTTTTTCATCAAATTTCATGAAATTAATTTTAAAACTTGAAAAAACTCATCCACAAATTGTGGCTGGTTGCAGTAGGATGTAGGGTAGTAACAATAAAATAAGGAAGAGCATAAGCCTTTGGAACACAACTTAAATAATCACATTGCTACGGTCAATTCAGCCAAGTATAGTAGTATTCTAATGCAAATTCGAGTAAATGACAAAAAAGAACAAAGAGCAATCTGATAATTTAAGAAATATTCGCCAGATTAAATCAGATAGTTAATCTAGCTATAAGTGGATTTCTAGAGAATAAAATATGTCCAATTCACAGTCCACTTATCCAAGTCATTATGCCACTATTATTAAAAAAAAGAATGAGCAGAGAAAGGCCATACTATGTCAATTGGAACAAAGACGGATTGTGAACAAAGAGACGCCAGCATGCCAGCAACACCATTTGCTATAGCTGCCTGTACAGGTTCTGATAGCTTGAATGGTTCCACCATCTTAAATGCAGTCACCTTAGTGGTCTCTAGTGCTGTGAGAAATATAATTCTGGCAGGAACCGCCCCTGTAATGACAGTTCCAAATCCTCTATATAAACCGGGAATACCATCATTTCGCACTAGGCCCCTGACAACAGAAAATGCACTCTCTTTTGCAGCATTATTGGTTGCCACCTGCATTCTAGTCTTGATGACAGAAATGGGGTATAGTGCAACAGTAAGCCCTGTAAATATCCCAGCTCCTACGACATAGAACCTAGTCTTATCAAGCCTGCATCAAAGGTGGAAGATATAAAGAGAAGCATGAAGTTTAAAAAGAAAAACTTAAAAAGAGAGATAAAACAAAAAGAAGGAACCCTCCATACAAGCAAAGAAATTATCCCTTCAGGCCACTACATCATTAAAAGATTAAGCTGCAGCACAAACGGATCCTACTTGACAGTTAAATAATTATCCTATAAGATAGAGAAACTTAAATCTATGTTAAAGGTCACAGACTTTGGAGGCATGAAATCCACCTGAGATAGAACCTGAAAACTCTCCATTCTGCTGATATTTTCAGCGTCTTGGTAAACCTTTTGTCTACTAACTATATGTAAAATAAGTATATATATTGAATACAGTTTAAGCCTCAGGCAAGTCACTTCTATAGTACAAAGGATTGTGTATAAACAAAGTATTCTAGTCTCCCTCCCTCTGGTTTAGCCTGAATAATTTCGCAATAGCCACTCACAATTAACTCCCATTTTAAACTAAATCACTTTCTAAGATGGAATACTATGAGTCGTCCCAAATGGAAACCTTTGCATTTCATGGTTGATTCTCTGCAGCTAATTTTCAACCCAACCCAGGCGCAATCTTGAAATTAATTATATTCTTAACCCTAAATTATTGGAAACGAATATCAATTTCCATATACAAACACGTATTAATAACAACTTGCAACACCCATCATCATTTTACATAATTAAAACACATAATCATTCCATCATTAGGATTCGGAAGAAAAAACATCAAAATTACCAATAAATAAAAGCTTACTTGTCCCAGTTAATCTCGGTTTGTTGAAATGGCTTCCTTGTAGATCCAGCAACCTCCATTAAAAAAAATTACAACTGTTCAAAACCCTAACTCGGCTTATAAGCAAGTCGTTAAATTTTGCAAATGGAGAGTAATCGGAGAAGTTTCTTGGAGGAAAAGCACCGACCAAATGGTCAATATAATGCTTCTCCTCCTTCTATTCTATTACCAACTTTTTAAATCCGTTTATTCCTTTTGTGTGTAAAATTATAATATTTTCAAATTGGAAACACAGCAGTTTATTAGGTCTTTATTTATGCATTGCCCTTTTCCTTTTCTATTTTTTTTTATTATAGAGTATTGAATTATTTTATTTAAAAAGTACTCCCTCTCCCCCTATATTTAGATGAACATTTTTATTTTATACTATGATCAAGTAATCATTAATAGATTTTACTATTTTGTCACCTCTTAATGAATTCTCTGTCCATTGTATATTGACTTGATATATATATTAAAAAAATTTCTTCATTTCAAATTAATTTAAAAATATTTCTTATTTTTTAATTAATTTAACTGTTTAATTGTTATGACTACTTTTAGAATGATATTCCAAATTAGTTACTTAATTAATGTTTAGTTATTTTAATTATAAAATTAATATACTAACTAATAAGGGTGAAAATGAAAAGTTAAGCTTAATTTATGTTTTGATCTTCTTTTCTTTAAGTGTTTGAAACATCTTAATATTAATTCTCTAAATAAAATGAGGATATAATAAATTAAAAAAATATATTTTTTCTTTATCTGTAACAAATGACAAGTAAAAAATATTATTTTATTTGTTTTGGGCTAGTTTTGAGCCTTTAGGCTAGTAGACACTTTTGATCTACTGTGTCAAATTATAACCTGTCTTCGTTTTATATAATTGATGGCTTTGCCATCCTTTAAGAAAAAGAAAAAACAAGCAAAAAGGAATGGATATAGTATTAATCAACTTCTTGAAAAAATAGATTATGAATGTGCATTTAAACTTTTTCATTCACTTTTATTTGTTATAAATTTTCGTTTAGAGTCAAATAATAAGATTTTAATTAATATTTTATGATATATCTTTTATAATATTGACATGCAAAAAATGACAATTTATAATATTTTTTATATAATTTTTTAATGTCAAAATTTTTTGTTTAAAATATTAAATTAATGTTATATGATTTAACTTTGAAAATTAATAAAATTGAATTTCGAAATATATAATATGATAGGTGAAATGGACATAGGGAGTAGCGCTGTCAAATAGGCGGTTTGGGTTGAAATTAGAAATATCAAAATAGGTTGAATAGAAATCAGGTTGGGTCTTTGACCCACCCAAGTTTATTTTGGGCTCAAATGGGTTGGGACTTGAACCGCCCAATTTGACTCGATTAATCGTAATAATTTCAATAAAGTTATATTTAATTTTTATAATCACAATGCAAATTTTAGCTCAAGATTTTTCTTTTAAAAAAGTGACAAATTGATAGATAAATCTTAAAAGATGTCAAATAGATGATAATTTATACATTTAATATAGGAATATAACTTAGTAAATGATTTTAAATCGGGTTGAAATTGGAAATTAAATTGAGCTCAATTAAGAATTCTCCTAAAATGGGTTAGGCTTGAATTATTTGAGATTAAATCAAATTCATATTATCTTGAGTTAAACTCTTAATATTCTGCGTGGTTGGTGGATTACCTATGTTTGGGTTCATTTTTGATACTCCTAATAGGGAGTATTAATTGTAAGTGTAAAATGAAAAATAACAAGATTTAATTAATTTTATTATGATTTAGTAAGTGATCAACGAGATAAATATTTTTAGTAATACGTTCATCTAATATGAGACGTAGATAGTACTTATTAAATCACTCATATTGATATTTACGACTTTAACACTTATCTTTATTTTAAAAAAAAAGATTCTGAAATGAACCCACATATAAAAGTGGGCTGATCTGCTCATTATTTGTGTTCGTACTAAAATTGTATTAATTAATTTTTTTTGAAATGCAGGATAACTCGTAATTTCTACAATCTTTAGCACAACCTCATGCCATTAACCATACACAAAATATAAATCATTTAAGCAGATCCTACACGACAAGCTAGAAATTCAAAAAGGAATTATAAAAATAACAATAATTTGATGTATGAAATCAATTACCGCACAAAGAAAGTAAGAATATATAGAGATATACACAAAAATAATTGTTTTGTTGCATTTTCCTTGTTTTGGTAGTCAATGAATAAAATTAAAACGAAAATAAAATAAAATAGAGTATTACTACCCTTTCCAAAATTATTTGCCATTGTAAACTTTACTCTAATGACTAAACATTTTGACTAGTGGTAAATTAGTTTTTTTTAAAAAAAAGATATAATTATATATTTTAGGATATAAATACAAATAACAATTCTTAATTAATGTTCTTTTAAGTAAAGGCTAAAGGAGAAACACTACAAATAACACTCAATGGTTTGATAAAGGGCAGCGGCCTATTGAGATCTCAAATTTAAATTCAGTTAAAATAAAAAAAATACTAAAAGATTTATTTTTGATTGAAAGAGAAAAATAGAAACAAGAGAAATAGATAATTTGAGACTAAAGATATGTAACATGGTTCCAATCTGCAGAGGCGGACCCACATGGTGTTCGCCGGGTGCTCGAGCACCCATTAACTTCGTTACGAAATATATATATCTATATAGAAAATTGATAGGTATTTGTATAAAATTACATAGAGGACCCAATAAATAAATAATTTAGTTGGCTCAATGGCTCCTGGATGGGTACTTAAGACTTTTTTTAGTGTTGTTATAACCAAAATTTGAATCTCACTGTTAACACATATTTTTTATATTTTCACTTTAGAACACCCACAACCTTAAATTTCTAGATCCCCACTCCAATCTGGTTACATTTGGGTAGATAGTGGGGTTTTAATTATTAATGTAACCAAGATTTGTCTATTTTCTGATTATAAAAACGGAGGGGACTCCAGATTCTGGAATTTGCTTTTGGACATCTTTGTTTTCTCTTACCTTAAAATGGCAAATAATTACAATACAATGCTTTTTATTTATTTGGTATGTATACCCTAATTAATTTTAGTCCACTTATTCGCCTTACACTATGTAGCCTATATCCCAAGCAAACCATATCCAACACCCAATTTAATACCGTCTTAATTTAGGTGACATATTCATTTTTTTAAAAAAATTAAATAATTTAAAATTAATCATATATTTACATATGAAATATTTTAAAATTAACTTTTTTATAGTAACTGACAATTTAGAATAATTATAAGATATATGAAAAATCTATTAAAATGTTAAATTTGAAGACGTGTCAAGTAAATTGTGATGGAGAAAATAATAAATATTGGGAAAAGTAATATGAATTTTATTTTAATTGTAGTGGCTAGTGGGTGACTAGTGACCACCACTATCTAGGAGGATTTGAATAAAGTGAAGTTTATTGGAATGTACAAGCTTGGCCTCAGAGTTGTATTAGCTTCTTCCACTTGTCACCTGACTCTTTGTTCTTTTTCATCCCCCATTCAGTACGTAGCACACAGAAAACCAGAAGAAAAAAAAATAAAGGTTCAAGAAAATATACAGCTGCTATATACAACACAAAATGAGCTTGTTCAGATTTTTTGCTTCCACCATACTTTTACTATTCTTGATTTCTTGCTTCAGCTTCAGCTCAACAGGTTAGTAATCTTGTTTAGGTTGGTTTCTCTTAGAGTTGATTCTCAGTTCTTACTCAACTAATAACCCGTTCGTTTTAATTTGTTAGTCTGATTTTAATTTGATATAAAAATTAAGAAATCAAAAATCAAACAAGACTCTTCGATAAACTAAATGAATACAAAAATATAACTCTAATTTTTTGATATTAAACATATCATGCTTGGAGAAACGTGTTCGTTGGTTTACAAAGAAAAATAAAATTAATAAATTGAAATAGAGTTTGTAATTATTACATTAGAAATCACTTTATTGGACGAATTATTAAATAATAAAATCAACAAGTTTCTGTTAATGTGAGGCTGTTTCTTGAAAGACAAAAATTGCTATTGTTGGCTATTTTCTGAGAGATTAGTATGTTTATCTATGATTTAAGAATCAAAAATTTGATTTTGATGGTAACGATTATATCTTTGTTGCTATGATTGGACATATACATCAAGTATCAAGAAAATTTCAGTATTCTGTTTTTAGTAAAGCAAAATCCTGTTAGGCAACAGGACATTTGGGTGTTGATTTGGTCTATTCTTGGAAAAAATGAGCTTCAAGATTAGATTTTTAATAGTCATTTCGAGCACAAAATGAATTTCAATTGTGGTGATAATTCACTATAAAGAACTAAAATGTTGGGTTAACAGTTTTTTTTTTATAGCCTGTGTGGTATCACAGTCAAGTTTTACGATTAAAATGATGTCGTCGAATATATAATCTGACTCTTCTTTGCATTCTCCAAAGCATAGGATTGAACAAAATTCACTATAATTGACTTCCATGCTTAAATCAGTGGTTCTGTAGTTTAATCGTTTCTCGGTTGAATATGAACTTAGATATTACTGTAGAATTGTTAAGCAATCTGAAATAATAATTTTCTTCTCTTTGTAGTTATTCTTATTGTGAGATTTTGCAGAATTTTAGAAAGCATCAGTTATATAACATGTTGCTTTTTGGATGAACTTTTAAGATTTCTATGTTTAAATTGTGCATGTACTACTAAAATTTGACTTAATAGAAGAGTTTATGAAGAAAAATCTTCTCCGAAAATATTTTCCTTGTGAAACATAGTCATTGTTTGGTCTATTTTGTGGACCGATATTAAACATTATATCTGAAACATGTCTTCACTTCCGCATAGCTATTGTTTAATCAAGAGATTACTGTGCATAGTAAAATGTAGGTGGTTTTTAACTAATACATTTTTACTTTTTGTACCAGATGCCTTTGATCCACTTGATCCAAATGGAAACATTACTATAAAATGGGATGTGATCAGCTGGACACCTGATGGATATGTGGTAAGTAACAATAATCTTGATCATCTATTGATAATTTAGACCTCCCTTAGATGACCTCCACGCAATAGAGCAGAGGCTAATTTGGATGCAGTTTATTCATCTCGATAGCTTTGACATACATGACGTAGAGTTTTAGTCATTTAAGCTTGACAGTCCCTTTTGACTCCCTTCTCTTTATTTTCTTCTTCTGATAAGCATTTCTCAAAGTGGAAGCTTCTGATCATTAACCATATGGAAGTTAACAGGCTGTGGTGACAATGTACAATTTTCAACAATATAGGCATATTCAAGCACCGGGCTGGAGTTTGGGCTGGACGTGGGCAAAGAAGGAAGTCATATGGACCATGATGGGAGCTCAAACAACAGAACAGGGAGATTGTTCAAAATATAAAGGAAATATTCCACATTGCTGTAAGAAAGATCCAACAGTTGTTGACATGCTGCCTGGAACTCCTTACAACCAACAGATTGCAAATTGTTGCAAGGGAGGAGTGATCAACTCATGGGGACAAGATCCGGCAACCGCTGTTAGCTCGTTTCAAGTTAGTGTTGGTGCTGCTGGAACAACCAATAAAACAGTGCGAGTACCTAAGAACTTCACATTAAAGGCTCCAGGTCCTGGTTATACTTGTGGACCTGCTAAAATTGTGAAATCGACTAAGTTTGTCTCCGCAGATGGGAGAAGAGTGACACAGGCTATGAGTAAGTTACTTGGCTCAAGTATCTGCAGATTCTATTCTTTCGATGGGCAACTTGTGTGCCAATTTTTGAAAACTTTAATCAAGCTCATCAAGATACACACAGTTGCAACCGATAGAAAATTGGGTTCTAACCTTTCATGTTGTCCTTGACAGTGACTTGGAATGTCACATGCACTTACTCACAGTTCCTAGCTCAAAAGACTCCTACATGTTGTGTGTCCCTCTCATCCTTCTACAATGACACGATTGTGCCCTGCCCGACGTGCACTTGTGGCTGTCAGAGTAATGGCACTCAGCGCGGGAGTTGTGTAGAGTATGACGCAGAATTTCTTTTCACTGATTCTTAGCATTGTTACTATTGAAGTGTTTTTATTAATTGTTTCTTCTCAAGCTTCATTGCAGTCCAGAAACGCCACACCTAGCTTCAGTTGTATCAGACCATGGGAAGAACAATTATGTTCCTTTGGTACAATGCACAAAGCATATGTGCCCAATTAGGATACATTGGCATGTGAAACTCAATTACAAGGAATATTGGAGAGTGAAGATCACTATAACAAACTTCAATTACAGGATGAATTATACACAATGGAACTTAGTTGTCCAACATCCAAACTTTGACAACCTCACTACATTATTCAGCTTTAATTACAAGTCACTGACTCCGTATGGATCAATCAGTAAGTCCTCATTCCTATTGTAAATGCTCTGACATTTAGCTGTCATTGATTCATTTGTGAATTAGATATATTAGCAGTTTTTTTTCGGTCCTTCTAATAATATTCTCGCTATAGCTTATTTCGCTTATGGTAAGCAAAGTTGAAGTATTTCATGCTTATTCTGCTAACTCCTCATGTATGAAAAAGTTTTCCGAAGAGCTATTCTAACTTTTGAGGCACCTAAGATTGGAACATAAATTTTGGAATATCCTAAAACGAGATCTACTTTCCTTTTTTTATTTACTCTACAATTGTCATTACTTTTGGTTGTAGATATACCTATAAAATCAGGTGAGAGATCAAAAATGATACAACTAATACTAACCGTATGGATGTTATTACAGATGACACTGCTATGCTATGGGGTGTGAAGTTCTACAATGATCTGCTCATGCAAGCAGGTCCTTCAGGAAATGTCCAGTCAGAGCTACTATTCCGGAAGGATGCATCAACTTTCACTTTTGAGAAGGGTTGGGCTTTTCCTCACAGAATTTATTTCAATGGAGACAACTGTGTGATGCCTCCTCCTGATGCATATCCATTCTTGCCAAATGCCGGTTCACGATGGGAGGCGTCTCTGATTACATTAGTGGTGACATTGATGTCTTCAATGGCAGTTGTCCTTACATACATTTAAAAAATTATCATCTGTGTATAGTTCAATGTATATCTGTTTTAGTTTGTTATCTCTGGGTTGACATCCGTGTTATTGCCAAGATTGGTGTGTGAGTTGGTATGGCTGAGCAATGGCCATGCGTTCTGACTTGTGGTGTGCATATACTAGTTTCATGCTAAAAGGGCTGCTACCATAGTCCCTTTAGCAGTTGTGTCACATATTTTTTGTATTTTGTAGGTTTGTCAAGTTCATAGTGTTTCAAGGCTGTGTATGGAAGTACAAGACCAATTCACAAACACATATAACTGCTTATATTAGATACTTTGATAACCTTGTTTTCTCCACTAATGTCTAGTAATGACTTTCTACATTGTGAAAAAGATACTTTGAAGCAGGAGTTGCATTTGTTTGATCTATCGTGGTGCAATTTTGCTGTATATCTCAGCTGAGGTACATTTTCTTTTCCAGTAATCAATTAGTAAAAATTATTGTGTGAATGCTATATTCTGTAAACTGTCTTCCTTGAGTTAGCAAAGTACATCACTCTGTAAGCATTTCACGACAAGAATGAAGTTTTCATATATCAATGCGTATAATGACTCTGCGGAATTCAGTGTGATATTCCTATGCACATACCAGGTTCGTCCTTTCAAAGAATTCAATATCTGTGATCCCAACATACTACGGAGCTTGTGGTTGCTAAGGACTGACAAAACTAGAGATCAAAAGAGTAGAATAAAAAGGAAAAACAGGGAAAATAACGATGTTGTGAAGGCAGTAGGACTATGATGGGCAAAGTTGGGTAAGTATGGATAAGTGTCTGGTGGTGGCAGCATGCATTCGTCGCCATTGAAGTAGACTTTCCGAGGAAATGCCCATCCTTGCTTGAAGGAGAATGTTTCCTTGTCCTTCTGGAGGAGCACTTCTGATTGGACAGTCCCAGATGGCCCTGCCTCCATCAGTAAGTCATTGTAGAACTTCATACCATAGAACATTCCAGTGTCATCTGCATATGAATTTCAGATTGGCACATGATCAATATGTTTGCCCTTATCATGATGATCTTGTTTAGAGATAGCGAATGGGCTATGCTTAATAGAGATTAGGTACTTACTGACGGATTGATAGGGAACGAGAGGCTTGTAATCAAAGCTAAAAACTTGTGTAACATTGTTAAGATTTGGATGCTGAACAACAAGAGTCCATTGTGTGTAATTGATCCTGTAATTGAAGTTGGTTACAGTAAGCTTGACTCGCCAATAGTCCTTGTAGTTGAGTTTCACATGCCAATGCACTCGAATTGGGCACATATGGTGCGTACACTGTATTAACGGTGCATTGTCTTTTCTTGGAGTGTTTACCCCAACCACACTCAATAGTTTGGAGTCGCTCCTATACATTTGTCATAAGAAGTTAAGTAAATCAAATCTTTGTGCTCTGGAAATTTATGTCTGTAAAAAGCTAGAGACTTACTTGATACATTTGTTTCTGTTCTCACAACCACAAGCACAAGAAGGACAAGAAGTGATGGTTTCATTGTAGAAACTTGACATGGAGACACAACAACTCGGGTGTTTTCGTGCTAGAAATTGGGAGTATGTGCATGTCACATTCCATGTCACTGCCAAAGGATTAGTTATTAGTGGATAAAGTTCAATGATCAATTAACTTGATGAACATGACTTACTTAAGGCCTGTGTTTTGCGCCGAAGATCAGGTGTGAAAAATTTGGTAGGTGGAACAATCTTAGCAGGGCCACAAGTGTATCCAGGTCCAGGACCAAGCAAAGTGAAGTTCTTAGGAAGTTTAACGGTCTTGTTGGTGGTACCAGCTTGTCCGACGCTAACTTGAAATGCAGAGACAGAAGATTGAGGATCTTGTCCCCAAGAAGCCAAGACACCACCTTTGCAGCAATTGGTAAATTGCTGGTTATAAGGAGTTCCAGGGAGCAAATCTACTACTGTGGGATTCTTTTTGCAGCAATGAGGAATGTTGCCTTTGAATTTAGAGCAGTCCCCTTGTTCAGTGGTTTGTGCACCCACCATAGACCAAATCACTTCTTTCTTAGCCCATGTCCATCCTAGGGTCCAACCAGGGGTCATGATATGCCGGTACATTTGGAAATTGTTCATCGTTACAGTAGCCTACAAGTAGGATCATATTATATGGAATTAGAATGTTGATAAAATAGAACATGTAATAACACATGAATGTTAAAATCCAATAATTTACAACTATCAGTATATATAAATTTAGTCGCTTACGACATAGCCATCTGGTGTCCAAGACATAACATCCCATTTGATGGTGATATTCCCATTGGGATCCAACGGATCAAATGCAACTGCATCAATAATGTAACAAATGTTATGTTTGAAGAAGAAAAAAAAAGCAGAAAGGAAAATGAGTACAAATGTGGATATTAATTAAAACACCTGTATGAGGAATGAGAGCAATTATTAAGAAGCCAGCCACAACAATCAAACCTCTCATTTTTTTCGTCTAAATCAAAAAAATGAGCCGTTTAGTATGTAGTATACTTGGAATTATATATATGAGTCGTATAGCGTGTGTAATTTGTTGTGTACCAACTGGCTGTTGGTACCAAGAGGATGGAGAAGATGTGCAGTCAGTTTGTTCCTTCTAATTTTATTTAATTTTTTTGGTTCATTTGGCTCTAATGTTTATACTGCTTTTGGAGTACTTTTTGAATCTTGAAGTAAGGATTTAATTTGGTCAGTGGTATGTCATACCTCATATGTATATACTTTTTTTTTAATCATATGTATACATCAAGCTTTTAGACCTATAACTACTCTCGAGAATAGAATGTATGATTTCATCCTATTAATATGACAAAGATCGCAACTCATACTAATATTTTTCAAATATCAAAATTTTAAATATATATATATATGTACATATCACATGGTGAATCAGAATAAGGAACTGAAAAAGTCGTAGCACCTTGCAAGAGTTTACCTCAAGGAAAGAAAGGGCAAAGTTTTGGTAGGGAAGACATTGTAACAAGTAAAACATCCCTTTCCTATACAAGACATATATAGTAACTAAGTTATCTCTTCTCTTTCCAAATTCTAATGATTCATCAATTACATCCCCCACACAAACTTTTTTTCCCCCACCACATGAAAGGACCAGTAGTATCCTCATTTATCCTTCAGCGTGACTCAAACTCTCAACCTACTGATTCATGTTGTAGATGCTCAATGTGTAAACCTCACTCCTTTCACACCCTAGCGCAAAAAAAAAAAGAAGAAAGGTGAATTCTTATTATAGTTAAATCAAATTAGTAATAAAGATAAAAAGAAGAGCTCAAAAAGGAAATAAAGACACAAAAGAATATGTAGGTAAGGTCCTTGGGAGTCCAGTTATGGAATATATATATATATATATATATGAGTTTGCATGTGGTTTGGCGTGTGCAGTGAGTTGCAAGGAAGTTTCAACATCAACGTAACGCTTATATCATACTCAACTCAACACAACAAACCATCATTGCCTCCCCCATGCATATTCTCCCTCTCTCTCTGTAAAAACACAACTTTCACCATAATTTTAAGTAATGATGTAAAGCACTATAATTATGACGTCAAAGTTATATTCTACTTAAGACTCCATTGCATACATTGACTACTAAATACATTTGATCGAAATATACATCATTATTTTCAAAATATGATTGATAACACTATTTACATTGTGTAACAAACTTATAGGTGATTAAAAAAAAGTTAAGTATATAAAATATAATTAAACTATCCACGTTTCTTATCTAAACTATTCAAAGTGTGAGTTTCATTTAAACATAACGTAACTATTGAGAGTCAGCAGATGTTAGGTGAAGGAGACCTCATGGGCCATTTATTCGGGTTGTTAACTTACCAGGCACCCTTTTGGGCCCAAAAAGATTGGCTTGGATTGAAGACAAAAACAATCTAATGGGCCTGGTATCTAAATGATTTTCAAAACAAATCAAAAAGAAGGATTTATTCTGTAATTTTTAACTTTATTACTCTAAAATTAGATAAAACTAGAAGACAAAAATTATCAATATAGATTATCTTATTCATGCTGCTTCTTTATTTAAAAAAATAGGATCAGATGAAGGAAAATTTATGAGTGGTTCTTACTCATCTAAACTCTAGATAATAACAACCTAAAATTCAACAAATGGAGTTGTTGTGTACACAGTTTAGAATTAATTATTGATTTCAGTCCAGTTTGAATATGATAGGTCAAGGTCAATTTTGACTAACTTTAATAGTGATATATCTGACAAAAATTCTGCATATTTAGAAACAAAGTTTGTCACGATCCAAAACGCAGAAACTTAAATATTACTAAATATTATTTTTTAAAATCTGAAAGTCATCACATCAAGGACATCTAATCTCCAATACTAAGTCTAAGAATATCAAATACACCAAAATAAAAGAATAAAATGATACGTGTCTGAAAGTATAGCACATCATGTCATGACCGAAAGAATCCAACACGAGCTTGACTGAATAGTTCACCCTGGAACTTGACATGCGGGAGGTTGGCTAGAGCTGAGGGAAATCTGAAGTCATAGGTACACTCGCTGCATTTCATAAAAGGAAAACAAAGAAAAACACAAGTAGGACTCAGTACGGAGGCAACATATACTGAGTAGATATCATCGGCCAACCCAAAATAGAAACTAATATCCAATAAATAATAGCGTGAAATCAACTATAGCACTTAACAGGTGATTAACAACAAACAACATGAACAAATGTCAACAACATTAAAGCTCGTAACTTATTAATTAAGGAATACGTATGTTGGCCATGTACCGCTGTACACATACGAAAGCCAAAATATAAATTAAAAACAAATTTCCCTTGTTTGGACTTTGGATGCACCCATAGATTTTCTCTAATTTCAATGAAATGATTGCTATGGTTCATGGTCGCTGAAACCGATTTGAACCGGCAATGTTTTTATATAATAAGAACCAAAAATTAAGTATAAATCTCTTATTTGTGGTGGATCTAGAAATTTTAATAAAACGGTTCAAAATCTGAAGAACTAAACACATGGACTAATCGAAGGGAGTTCAGCGTCTATTATAAATACATAAAAAATAATTTTTATTATGTAGAAATAATTATATTTTCCGTCGAATGGGGTTTGGATGAACTCCCAAAAAGAAGGTTGGCTCCACCCCCGTCTCTTACTATAATATTTAATATTAATCGATGTATAATTTTAGATTTTAAAAAATAATTTGAAAAATAAATAGTTAATGTTGAGAATGACAAATAAAAATGAAAATTACTAGAGTATTTACAATTTTTTTTTTAATCATACACTACAATATAAATGACATTAGCAAGAATTAAGAAATTATTGCTAAATATATATTTTTAGAAGCAATTGACACTTTTAAGTATATGTTCCTAAAGTCTTTAGCGACATTAATCCTAATGACACTTAGCTAATGCCGCTAAAAGTTATTTTTATTCTCGATATCAATAAAAAAAAAGCTTGTTGAACAAGAAATGAGATGGCTAAATTAGCAGGTCAACTTGAAAACTAGAGGCTATATAGACGCGCCTGGTTTTATTGCTTTCCAAGTGAAAACTTGTTATCATCAACCAGCCCACTGGAAAATGTAATTAATTAATCATCCTTTTGGTATTCAACTTCAAATATTAATTGGTCGAACTAATCTAGCCAATACTTCTTTTCCAATCTTATAGAAATTAGTACTTAATTAATTAATTAATATATGTAGATAGATTGCTATATATAAACGAACATGAGGCAAAACACCATATCTACTTTTAACGTATATTATATTAGCTCTTTGTTTTTCAAATATCAGCACCAAGCAATTGATATAGAAAATAACGCTACATGGGGCGTTGGATTAGACCCGAGGTACGTAATACGCAACTACAATATCTCTATTAATTGATGATTTAGACAAGTTTATTTGATATTTAAAATTTTTAAATATTATTTATGTAATGTTTCAAAAATAGTAGGTTTATTTGAAGTTGTTGGTACGTAGGTATATCCACTAATGGCAGCGATGACATTTGTAACGGGAATGTGCGTTTTTCAGCTCACAAGAAACGTTCTCTTAAATCCTGATGTCAGGTACGTAATTAAATTTCATTATGTCATTAATTTTATTGCAAAAAACTTTTATATTGATTAGAAAAATTGTATATAGGATCAATAAAGCTCATCGAAGCATGGGAGTACTTGAAAATGAAGAAGAAGGAGAGAAGTACGCAAAACATAGCCTTCGAAACTTCCTACGTACTCGTCCACCACAAGTCATGCCTTCTATCAACCGTTTTTTTTCTAATCATGACAACAATTGAAATCAAATCTCAATTCAATAATCATATATTTTATCGTTTTGACTTTTCATAAAATTATTTTTAAATTGATGTTTGATATTCATATTGAAACTCTTTCATACTTTGTGTGTTGGTCCTTCCTTCTTATTCCGTTTTCTTGTATTTTCGTTTGGTATATATCAAGTCATGATGATTCAAGTAATTTCAGTGTTTTTTCTACCAAGGAATGAACCCTTTTCCCACCTTTCTTATGGACTTACCCTTTTGGCCAGAAATAGTTCTCACTCTGTTCTATTTTATACTTCTGATTTAGTATGTGGCCAACCAACAAATCATGTTGTTAAAGAAAAAATGACTATTTTTCAAAAAATAAATAAATTAGAAAGATGACAAAAATGAACGCATGAAGGTGTTATCTTTTTATATTTAAATAAAAAATGTAATTGTTTTTTTAAAAAAATCTTTTTATTTTATCTTTAGCGACATAATTTATTTGCAATATAAATTTTATTAGATTCTTAAGATTATAACAAGTTCCGCAAAAAAGTTTTCTTTAAAATATTTATGTCCAATCAAATATTTTATTAAAAATAAAACGGAGGGAATCTTATTTTAACATCTGTAAATTTCTCTATACCAATTTTAACTTTCAAATATATATTTTTTTTAATTTCCATCAAATGTCGAACAAACGCTTTAATTGACAAAGCAATTCCATCTCTAAATCAGCATTTGTCTACTTTTGTATATTATTTACAACAAATATAATTTAGTAGATAAAATTTATAAATATTTAATTATATGGTATTAATACAGATAATCATCATATTTACATGATTTATATTGGGGCTAATATATGAGCTGTCACTATTAAAATTGATAAGAGAAAAGTCCAAAATGAATGAATGGGCGGTCCAACTTACCCTTTGAAGCTTTAATGTACTATGTATACATATTTTCAACAACTAATTAATATGTGATACATTCATTGTTAATAGGCAAGACTTTGAACAAGGAAATAATAATAATAATAATAATGGAAATTTTTCAAAATGTCAATATTTTAGCATTTAAGAGGACTAATTAGCAACAACTTCAATATTTAGTAAAAATGTCATTTTAGTTTGTTATGTATGTTTTTATTATTTATTTTTATTTAAAGAATATAATTATTTAATAACAAAAAGGAGAAAATTAAGGGGGGAAATATTTAAAAAAAGGCAAGTATCCTTAATTTTCTCATCAGTTACATTTTCAAATAAAATTTAAATTTTGTTTTTTTTCTCCAGAATTTTTACATTTTTAAAATTATATTCATTCCACAATATATTCCATATATATTTATTATAGTTTTTTATTGGTTTGTATTCATTCCAATAGGTATGCCGAATTTATCTATATAGTTATTTAAGAAATATATTTGTATTCTCATATATTTTTT